GTGATTTTCGTTCGTCGATAGTGGGCTCTGCTACCGAGCCGAAAGTAGTACCTGTTGCTAAGAGTTATTCTTCGATTTATCTCCAGACTGACATTATTGGTGGTGTCCTTCACCACCTCAAAATTATGACTGTCAACAGTGACGTTTCGTTCCAATACTCGCAAATATAGTGCAGGACCGTTTCTTTACTTGTATGGAAGGCCCATTTTAGCTGCATGTGCACCAAATCACAGGGCGTGAAAATTCCATTTTAGCCAAAGTTTTAGAGATATCAACTTGAAATTTGCCATGATTTTTAAGAAGAGCTTAACACACATTTGCAAAAAGGAGGAAGGTTATCAGCCGTTATAACCATTATTTTTAGATTTAATTTCTTACATCATAAAGGATTTAGAAAAGATCAAAAAATAAATATTCAAATTGTAGGATTATTTTTAAGCAAAAAAATAAAAATCAAAACCTTCCCTAGATCTTGGTTATTGAGAAAGTTGGCAAATGTTTTATTTACTTTTGTTAATTTAGAGTATTTTTATTTTAGAGCTGTTTTTTTACATACATATAAAGGGTTTTTTTTTGATTTTTTTTTTTTTTTTTTAACATGATATTGCAAATAATATGTTAATTAAATTAAAGTTAAAAAAATCGGAGGTTTTAATTTTTTTGTAAGGTCAAAAGAGAAATGATGTCACTGAAAACTGAAAACGCTCGAATTCGACTAACCGTTCACTTTCGACTAACCGCTCACTATCGAGTGGTCTAAAAATCTCTCTAGCCAAAATTATTCGAATAGTGGCAGTTCTTCACCATAAAATGATTTTATTAGCGCGGTTGGATTTTCTCAATGAATTTAGGTATTAAAAAAATATAAAAACAAATGTTTATAAAAAGACTAGTAAAAAAATCGAAAATAAACGATTAGGCGACTAGTTTTTTGTGAGCGAAACAGTTAGTCGATTAAGTGAAGTCGATTATTTTTTTTTAACAATTTTATGCATTATTTTTTTTGTTTCCCATATCATCATATTTTAGTACACGTTTTGTTTTAATAATTTGCTCTACATCTACTAAATGCAGCATTGAGCTACAAATCGAGCTTTTGTTTTTCCAACTGTACTGTTACTTATTTAGTAGAGCAACGAGTGTGTACCGTATTAGTATGAAAAGTCTTCCGTATCTTAAGATCGAATTACCTGAATCATAAAATATATTTATAACTTTTTAACTTCAGTTTGCATCCACGTTTGTACTAATTTAAGCTAATTTTTTTTTTATTAAATAAATAGTGATTTTATATTTTTTTACAATTTTCTACTCGATGTCACTTAAACATTTCCTTCTTCATTCTCTTTATCCTTTCAACTCTTTTCACGCTTATCACAAGCATAAATAGTTTCCTCCGCCGATTATCTGCTTTATTTATTTCACTCCAAAGGCATTAAGTGAAAACTTTGAACTTTCCACAAAAGTTGCACCTTGATGCGCCAGAGACACAGCCTCCACGGCAGACGTCCGTTGTAGTTGAACTCAAAGGTGATAGAGTAAAAGTGAACAAAAAGAAGAAGAAAAAACTAAAATACTAATGGAAGTAGTTGGAGAAATGTTCTCTAATGCGCAGTCATTCAAAAGTTCGTATAACTCACCAGCCACCCCCACCTTCGCCGGCAATTCAACGCGCGCTGGTGCCAAATGGCGGTGAAGAGTAACTAACAAACGAAAGCGTTGGCAAATTAAGCGCAACCGGAGTAGATTTATTGGCCAGCTGAGTAGTGGATCGAATGCAAGTTTGCATTTGGTGACAGTTGATTTGAAGTGTCAAGAGTTGGATAAACAGTGTTATTGGGTTAATTAGAGAGAGAAATCGATTGATATATAAAAATAAATTTAAATTTAGAAAACGAATGACGTCAGAAAAATAGTAATTTATTAATATTTCTAACATTTCGCATCTTCTTCGGAGAGAAGCCTTTCAGCAACCCTGTAGATGAAAGTAATGGCGTTTTGGTTTCTACAAAATATGTTGGCTTTTCATAGCCCTCTCCTTAGTATTTGTGCGTAGGGGGCACTGAGAGTGCAACATTTTTCGGTAAAAAGAAAACGCTGTAACCTTTTCACTTTCTACCAAAATGCAGCCACCTCGGCTACATTTGTGGCTATCATTGTGGCTGTGTCGGATTAGCTGTGGTTCTTTTGGTGCAGATTATGTAGCTTTGGGCCAAAAATTTTCGTCGAAGAATAAAACTTATTGCTTAAGTTTGGTTGCATGGAAATGTTTTCTACTTGTTCTTTTTCTTGAAAATTTCCGCTAGCCAAATGTGCTTTTTGCCAAAGTTTCATCTGATTTCCGTTCATTAGGAATGCATAAGTGAGTTTGTGTGGTGAAGGCAGCGGCAGGCGAATTGAAATTTTAAGTTAAACTTTTTTCGTGTGCATGAAAAGTTATCGGTAAATAAATTAGAAAAGTAACTATTTTTAATTTGTTACTTATCTTGAGTGAAAATGATAAATGTGGCAATTTATTGGGTTTAATTTATTTCATGTTTGCAAAATTGGTTTTTAATTGGGTGTGGGAGTTACCAGATTTTTCTTTCTAGACATAGAATTCTATATTTATATATATAGTATATATATATATAAAATATATTACATACGTTCTCTGGTATCTCCATCCTTTAGCCGGAAGCATGAATGTGCAAATTTACCAGTTTTTTTAATTATTGGGCTAACTTGATTAACCTTTGGATGTTCTATGTTACAGCAAAACCCAGAATATCAGGCTTACACGGAGACCACATATTTTACAATTTCAATTGCCTAAGAGTCAAGTCTAGTAAAAAAACTTTCAAACTTGATTTCCCAAAATTTTAGTTTTTACGCATTCATCATTCTGTCGTACGGGCGACGGTATGATATGTTAGGTTATGCTATGTTATGTTATGTTATGTTGCGTTATGTTATGTTATTTTATCTTAAGTTACGTTATGTTGTGTTTTATTATCTTTTGTTATGTTATAATATGCTACGAGCTAAGTTCAACTCCCCTCTATTCAGCTCACCCCAACTAATGCTATTTCACCTCACCTCACCTTCTCACCTCACTTCTAACCAACTTCACCAACTTATCTAAACTCACTTCACTTCATCTTAACTCAACTCATATATTTCAGTGGAAACTTAATTTTCTGTGTGAGCATAAGTCAAAGTTGATGCATTTATTATTCTAAGGAGGATCGGAAGTCGTCTAGAGTACTACTTGTAGAGTGACGTAATTTAACTCATTGGCTTTACAAACATTTCTGTAGCGCACAGCTATCCGCAATGTTATTTAGTATGTCACACTCTATTTTATTTATTTTCTCATCCCAAAACCATACTAATCATCTCGCAATGCTCATACGTACGTAAGTATCTACCTATACTCAGTTACACTCCGCTCTAAATTGCTAATATGCAAAATATGCCGCGTAAAATTTAATAAAGCGAAATCCAAATATGCCCCACACCCACTGAAATCCGCGAGTGTGACGCAGCAAAGTGCAATAAACATGCTAATGCCTCATAAGTATACAAATTCATATTACTTGTCGTCCTCATAAAGGCCAAAGCCAACATAAGACAGCACGCATGTCATGTTAAATAATTTCATATTACACACACACACACACACACACCCACACTCAACCGCTAATGCACACGTACAAATTTAATTAACAACTCACCTGACTCTCGGTGATGCTTACGCCGCGTTTGTCGTATTTGCTGCTCTGCTTACGCGACAATAAACCGCCCGTTTGGCTGATGGCACCGCCACAAACGACAACACCACCGCTGTTCACACCGACCACGCCCACGCCCACGCCCACGCCCACGCCCACTTCAGGTGTACCAATCGCTAGTGCAGCTGCTGGCAACTGTTGCGCTGTTTGTGTCTGTTGCAGGTGATTTTGATGGTGATTGATGGTGGCCTGTAGAATCGACGACGGTGGATGATGATTTTGCGGCATGTGATGGTGATGATGATGGTTGAGATGATGATGTTGATGATGGTTTTGTTTGAGACTGTGGTTGTGTTGATTTGCATGTTGATGTTGATGTAGATGTTGATGTTGATGTTGATACATGCTGTTATGCAAACTCATGCTTTCGTCTAGCTCTTGCTGCTCTTGTTGGTGCTGCGCCTGCTGCTGCTGCTCATGCTGGGTAACTAAATGATGCGAAAGACCGTGCGAACTACGCCACAAAGCGATGGCAATTTTGCTATAAAGCACCTGTGAAGCAAATATTTTCTTTTTTTTTAACAAATTTAATGAGATTGACAAAATTTATTACAAAGATTTAAGTACATATATAGGTGCGTAATTCATTCTATGCGCCAGTTGGATGTATGTGTTCGTGTGGGTGTGTGAGTTTAATGTATGTAGGCTAGACGAAGTCACTAAATTGAGCACGAAAATATTTCAAGCAAAAATTCACCAATGTACTTGATGTATATTTAAACACACTTACATACATGTATGCGTACCGTAATACAGCTATTACTTAAATTCTATTATCAGAATCACAGTTTAAAGAAGAAGCTCGCAGTTTCCGCGGCCGATGGCTTTAATGACAGCGCTCGTCGTAATAAGCCGCAGGCGACTTACTGATTTCCTCTGGTATTTCTCTAATAAATTAAAGCATTTCAAGTTCTTTATCTGATTTAAATGTTTTATCTTTTTATGTGACCTAAGACACGAAATTGTGCTTCGAAAATTACAGGTTTATTCACCAAATAAATAATTGTGAACTTGAGTAACTCAGCACATTTATAGCCAAGAATTTATGCCCAGTTTTTAAATTACCATAAATTTATGTCCAACTTTTAAGTAATCAAATATTTTTTGTTTAGTCGTAAACTTACCAAGTATATACTAATGCCCAGTTCACAGATGACCATAAATTTAATTTTTTTACTTCTGAAGTGATAAAAAAAAGTTGCTCTTAAAATATTTATATAAATTTTTGCTTTTAATTTGTAAAATTTCTTTGCACTTCACTATTATTTGTATGTGGGTTGGTGCATTGGATTAATATATGCACATAAGTAGGCCGGAAAATCATAAATTAGCAACTCAAGAACTTAAGCCTCCAATGCTTGAGCCGCAGAGGCAAGAAATTTGAATGGAAAAAAGTAAAGGACGAGCGGACGACCTGACAAAGTTAACTCCGCTTCAAACATTTCTTACTTTTTTTTTTATGGTTGTGAAAAAGATTTTGTGATGTGGCGAAGTTAGTTGCTCAACACTTAATGCATATAACTAAAAATTTTTAATTTTTTTTTTTTTTTTGTTGCAATTTAGTCTCCACCTAAATTTTTCGATAATTTTTTATCCCATATAAGAGGTTCAGGAAATCTCGAATTTTCTCTAAGATCCATGCTGACGCAGTAATTTCCTCTCAGAAGAGAGGAATTCTAGTACAAGTACGAATAGCACTAAGTAGTATTATTTTCGTGCCACTGTCCGAGGGAATGTAGCCGACCGCTTAATCGATGCTTCTCTAAATGCAGGGGAAATCGAAAAGAGCATTAAGAGCCACCACTGAACTTCACGTATGCTTTTTTTTGCAGATCGTTTAGCAATAGTTGATCCGATCAAAGCCCCGTATAGCCGAAGTATCGAAGGTTATTTTAAAACCCCACACTAAGAAATATGTACACATATTTAGTGGGCGTAACTTTTTTCAGTGCAGGTTTTTGCTAAGTGTTAAGTGTCCCTGATATTTAAACGAAATATTTGAGCTAAGCTACTCACTTAGTTTCGGGTTCTCATAAATCTTAACTGTCAGTTTCCTATCCCTATTGTGTCATTGGTCATTCCTTAATGAAGTTATGAAAAAGTCTTTCAGTTGATTTCTCAATTGGGCCTGGAAATTACACAAAAAAAGAGCTTCAGGCAAAGAGCCAAAAGCCCTACCTTTCTAAGATGCATAAAACCTGCCTTGAACCTCAGCATCGAAATAAAACTGTGCATCGTTACACTTGTGTGTGAAGCGCGGCATTTATTCTAACTTACCGTCATCACCAGCAGCGGTATAACGTAGAGCAGTACGAAACTGATCATATCCAGTACCTTTGAGTTGTACATATTGCGATCCATCACACAGATTTCCTCCTCCTGTCCATCCTCAGTGTGAATATTTTTGATAGTTTTGCTAAAAAGGAATTTTGGCGTAGAAAATAGGGCTGAAGTGACCCAAACGGTTAAGATGACCATCTGAAAAAAAGAAAAATGTATTAAATTTGTAAGACTCTTCGAAAATTGAATGCAACAAATCATAAAAAATTCTACATTTAGCGAGCTGTTATTTGCAGAACGCCAATATTTGCCCCACATGTGAGCCAATGTATCTACTTAAATATATCTGTATGTTTAAATCAAATCATTCACAGGGGCATTGCACTTTTCGTGGATATTTGGGAATTAACCTTTATCCCCAACGAAAATGTGTATGTATGGTCATTATCATTTCAGCAGCACATGTCAAAGTAATTAGCTAAATTTCGACATACCTGCAGTTTGGCGTGTAATTTATTGCATAGCAATTAGCAGATCCCAACAGCAATTGATTACCATTATAAAGATAAACCTTAATTCTATAAGTCAATGGCTTTGTTGCTTTGTTGGCGTTCAAGCCATTACTGCTGTTTACCAGCTTGTATTCTTTTCGAAATTCATCAACTTCTATATTTTTTTTTTGTCTTATCAACACCATTTTCGCTTACTCAACCTCTACTAGGCAATGAAGAAATAATGAAGTGAACCGAAAATTTCACCAAAGCACAAAATAAGAAATTGAAAACATTAATCCAAGTGCAATTCTTCAATTAGACGCAGACATTGCTTGCAGGTGTTTACTCGCGAAAAACAACAGCTCAAATTAATAGAAAGAAATAGAGAGGGAGAAATAAATAATAATGAAGAAATTAGGAAATGAAAGCAGAAAACTGCTTTTCGATGGAAAAGCAATGCATACAAAATAAATATCTTTATTTTGAGAAGCTTATTTGGGAAAAAATAATACGTGCGCCAATTTGCAAATAAGTTTGAAGAGGAGGAGCAGAGTGTGTTTTTTTTTTTTAAGAATAATGGACAAACTGTTGATTGCAAATATAAGCTGTAAGAAAGTAAAATAGCGCACAATTTGGTACTGTAAATGTGTGCATAGAAAATCTATAGAAAGCTTTAAAAATCGTATATCGTGGGATTGGTCGCGCTTGGTGTATATAAAATTTAAGGAAAGCTTAAAAAGGCACAAAAACAACGATTTCATTAAGAAATAAACCTAGAAAAAGGATTTTTCGTTTTCTCTTCTAGGCAAAGGCAAAGAGACAGCAACATTTTTGTAGAAAAGAAAACGCCATAAAAACTAGAAGAAAATTAAATCTAAAATAATTTTTAAGCAAAAAAATAAAACCGATTTCAATTCTCATATAAAAATGTAAGGTTATCGTTAATTTCTTCATGATCCAACAATCGGATTTAAGCCAAATTAGAATGGGACCACCTGTGAGGTAACACCTTTCCTTTAAAAAAAGAATTATAGAAATCGGTTAACGTGGTTCAAAGTTATGTTATGGTTATGAATTGATAACCTTCCTCCTTTTTTGAAGTCGGTTAAAAATGTATTAAAAAACTCCCCTTACCGAGGACTCGAACATGGAAATTGCACGCTACTGCTTTGCTCACTCCGCCATACGACTGTTGGAACAGTGCCAGCAAATTGGTGTAGGTACATTCAGTGGCCGCACCACATTGTGAAAAGTTTTAACATACTATTTTTTTTTTTTTTGTTATTCAGCTTAAGATTTTTTTAAATATAGTTCATTGTTTATCAAAATACGTGTAAATTCAAGTTCTAGACTTTGTGCAATACTCACAAACAAATTCAACAAACTTTAGTAAAAATTTCGAGATTTTTAATATTAATTTTTGAAAAAGACCTTGGGATGCAGTTTGTAACCCATTGAATTAGAAGATCGTCGAAGATGTTATGCGTTTCTTCTATATAAAAGTAAATTTTGTTTATTCGTTATATGGAAGCAAAAGGGACAAAAAAATCGAAAAAAAAATAATGGTAATTTTATCCTTGCACTTTTTTCTACTAGAATTTAATTGGCTGCAAAACTGCGTACTCAAAATCTTTCTAAGAAATCAGGGTTTTGCAAAACATAGAGAATACACAAAAAATTAAAACAATCGAAAAAAATATAAGAATTAGGGTAACTGAAAGGTTAACAGAATTTATTGAAAGTTTTCGACATGAATCGCAACAAAATTCAGTCATAAAAAATTTTATCATCGAAAGTTATCAAGTTATCGAATGACCATGGTTTATAGTTATCGAAATGCATCGAATTCTTCGAAGTTTTTCAAAATTTTCAAAATATATTGAGCTATCGAAATTTCAAGGTTATATACATAAGTTATCGAGTTATCACTGCTTGTCAGTAGCTTTCGAAAAATATGGAGCTATCAAAATTAACCGACTGGTCGAAATTTAAAGAAATATGCAAAGTTTATCGAGCTATCGATTTATATCAAGATATATACATATTTGAGTTATCGAAATTTATCGAGCCCTCGAAACGCGCAGTTCTCGAAAATTATCGAAAGTAGTCCAGTTATTAAATGTTATTGAGTTATCGGATTTTAGGTTCTTGAAATTCATGAAGTTATCAGATTATCGAAATTTATCGACGAAGTGGAATGTATCGAGTCAATTCTAAGTCTTGCCAAATATCTTCAAAAATATACAAAATTTGTAGTCACGCTTTAGTCCCAAAGCAGGAGATTTTCCGGTTAGTAATTTTGTGCCTTATAAGTTAAACGACGTGCTAAGTTAGAAAACCTCTCCAAGGGTATTAAAAAAATACAAAAATGGTCGAATTTCGATAGTAACTGGTATTCCCAGTGTATAATAAACTTCAGATAATAGCTTTAAACTCAAACGAAGCTTCTAATCACTTCTACTTATATACTGAATTCGAGTATTTCATTTCGAAAAGCTATTTAATTTTATGGAATTCCCTGTTTAGATTAATCGAATCATAACTCGATTAATTACGAAAATACCATTGAATTATAATTATAACATTTAAGCATTGCTGAGAGTCAAACATTTTTTTCTTATCAAAATCCTACTAAATCTAGTTTCAAAATTTAGTAACATGGTAACACTGGTTTTGTGAATAACTACATATACTCCATTCCAAAAGACGAAGGAGCAAGGATATTACATTTCATCAAGACCAACTGAGTTTTTATTTGAATTGTAAAATTTTAGATTGAAATCGGAACACTTTTGAGGCATGGGGCGATATGAAGGCGGTTTATACTTGCTTTCTCACAAATATTTCCACTTGACTGATACATCAGAACGCCTGGTTTCTAAGTCCCGGCAAATAGCTACTAAAAGCCGTAGCAGGCTACCTACTAAAAAGCTTTCAAAATTACTTTTGAGTACACAAGCATTCATTCTAAATTTCTACCCCAAAACTTTTAACTACGCTTACGATAAGAAGTTCACTAAGTTGTTTAGCACTTAACCGATTAAATGAGCTGCATAAATGAAAGTGAAAGTAATTACAGACAAGTGGAATTATTCAGAAAGTGCAATATACTCATTTAAGCAAACATGTGAATTACTTACATATTTACTCATTAATTAACATACAGTGGTTTACGAGGCCATCCATGTACATATATACATATGTATATCATGAAAACGATTTTACTTAGCCAAAGGTAAATAAGGTAAATCGCTGTTGTTGAGTAAGTCCTCTTGCACAGTCGTTAGCATTTGTTTAAATATTTGCAAGCTTGTAAGAGAGTACCAGCATTCTCAAGATGTGAATTGATATGTATTAATATTCGCATTAAAGCCTGACGTGCTTATCACAATTAAATTAAAGCCGAATTAAAAACACTCAGTTGTATACATTATGGTTCGTTAAATGTTCATATGCATGTATTATTGCAGTACTGAATACAGAAATGTATAGGGGGACATCAAAAGCTTTTAGCCGAAGGGGTTACTCATACGACATGCGTGTCAAGTGGGAATTTGTAAATAAGCTATAAGGATGCAAGAATTGCTGTGTTCTATACGGACTTAGATAAACTTGTTGTTAAGCACTTGTACGCACATGCAGACATAAATATATATATGCGTATATATTCAAGAATTTGCCTATATTTTATTCTCCTTAGGCAAATTGCGTGCAAATAATTAAATCGACTTCAGTTACTCACTCCTTTCTTGCGTGTTTTTGCCGACAAATTGCACTCAATTGCCACTTTATTCTACATATTTTATGTAGTACAAGTAGCTCACTTCAGCTCGCTTGTTTTCTTTAAGGACAGCAATTTTTTATTTTTTTTTGTAAGTATTACACAACAGAGGCAGACTAATTGACTTTTTGGTGTTAAAATGATAGCAGACAGGAATGATTTATTGGCGAAACGCAAGTGATTGGCTGGGGTGATTGATTGATTGATTGGATATGTTGTGACCAATTTTTTTCTTTTTTAACTTGGTATGGGGTTCTCATTTTGCTGATGTTGAGTCGATTGGATTATAAAATTATAAGCTCAACACAAAAGCGTTTTTTTTTTTTAATTATATTAATACAAGTACATACATTTATAATGGAATAAGCCGAATAGCTTTCAATGTTTTACTAATAATAAGTGGTTTCTTATTGCTCATTTAAAGAAGTTTTTTCACGTGCTCAACGAATCCTAAGCGAATTAAGTTAAAGCACTTAAAGTCAAAAGCTAAATCATGTGGTTTATTATTCCGACTTTCTGCTAGGCAGTAAAAAGATTTTCTGTTGATTCCGCAGGGAAAGTGTTTGGTTTCGGGGGGTGAAAAAGACCAATTTAAGAGAAACCCAATTACTTTGCCACGCATGTCAGCAATCCCATTACCCGCAGCCAACAGCGAGTAAGTGATAGGAGCATGAGATAAAGGAAACGCCTTTAAGCGAAGGAGGGAAGGACATCTCCCTGCGGTAGCCCTTGCCTAACTCTTTTCGGCTTACAGTATATATCTCCAAACGACACCGAGAAGAGAGAGTTTTAATCCAATTATTTATTTTTAATTGCGTTTTTAAACATTAATATTCTTTTTAGTTATTAATAAAATTCTGTTTATTGCAATTAGGATATTGCTGGCAATATAATTGCACTACTTGCAAAAAAATTGCTTTTGT